GATAAATTCAGTATAATTACCAAGCCTGGTCAAAATACAAAACTCTCTTTATATAATAAACGTGTGAATTAATACATCACAGATTGTCCTCAACTACTGATCAACTAACTAATCAATAACAGGTTGAACTGGGAGATAAAGTTAAAAAGAGGCCAGACTGAGATGTTTTGAACATGTCCAGAGGAGGGACAGTGGGTATACTGGTAGATGGATGTTAGAAATGCAGCTGCCAGGAAAAAGACAAAGAGGAGATACATGGATGCAGTTAGAGAGGACATGGTTGGACTGAGGACAGAGTGAGATGGAGGAGGAGGACTTGCTGTGGAGCCCCCTGAAGAGGGAAAAGCCAAAAGAAGAAGTTAGTCATCAACTGTTGACTAAAAAAAATCGGTTTAGTTTTAAATGCTTTTTAGCACACTTTTGATCTTAAAAACACGTTAAAGGAAATTTTAGGCCTATTCTACTCAAAAAGTACTTCTTGAAAACTGATGAAGAGTCGCTTTAGACTTAGTTTTAACTGTGTTGAAAAACAAAAAGTTTGTAAACTCAATCATCCAGATAGATAAATCACAAAAAATGTTAAATCATGTGATCTGGACAAGTGTTTTAAAGGGAGAAACAGTTCGTCTTTCATCCGACCAACTTTTCTAAAACCTTGCTTTTCATTCATTTATTTGACACAGTTTTGATTTTGTTGTTTGAAAATACTGACGACCAGAACTGAGATGACTCAAGGACCGTTTCTGACCCTCAGATCCTCTTTTGAGAGTTAAAGGCTCATCGCTTTTAGAAATCCTGAGCACCAGCGACTGAGATATGTCACGATATTGATTTTATAGCAAGAACAAAATGTGAAAGAATGACATGATTTATAATGTTTTAAACAGTTTCCACCCACGTTCAGTCTGTGGATGTTTGAATCTACATTCCTGCTTTCTCTCCATCTGTGCAGGGTCCCAGTGGCCGTGGCACAAAGACCGCTCTACTAAAACCAACCCTGATGACTTCATGCTGAAGACACAATGCATCTCAGCCCGGCTGAGCTGAATAAAGCTTGTATGTGAGGTCATCAGGGCGAGCCAGGCCTCCGCAGCTTCACAACAGAGACAGGTCCGATCTCAGAGCAGCCACAGTGTTAAACTGACACTGGCAGAGCCTGCAGGTGTATGCAGGTAGTAAAAGAATGATGGAAAAATGTGACCAAAATGAGTCGCAATGAGCACAGGCTGCAGTGCAAAAAACATGAAAATATTGGTGGGGGGGTTTGTCGTTATAGAGGTTTGTGTTAAAACTATTAACGTGCATGGGATGTCAATTTTTTGTAATAAATATGAAATGTCTTTTTGGAGAGACAATAATAATAGGTATTGCGAGATAAAATGTCACGCCACAAAGATGAACAGTTGAGATTTTCTCATGCGCAGTGACAGGAAGTGATGACAAACGCCTGCACATAAACAGATCATTGCTACAATGACTAAAGACAGAGACAATAGAGAAGAATTTCATGTTTGATGAGTCACTATCAGGGAGAGATGAAGGAGTCTATGTTCAAGAGTCTAAGTTCAAATAATTAGAGCCTGACTGACGTATCGGTAGGGCCGATATTTTAAGCCGATATAGGCTTTTTGGACATATCAGTATCGGGGATTATTGTCCCATTATGCACCGATATAAACACTGGGAACAAGCCATGTCATTACTTGCAAATGGCGTAATTATACCATGTATCCAGCAGAGGGCACATGCAAACTACTTTCAAGCCATGGCCGTTCACTTTAAGTTTCACTTTCACTTTCAGCACTGCAGAAGCAGGGAGCAATACCGTGTAGCGTATTTTACTTAACAAAGCACGGTAAGTTTATTTTAACTTATTTGTAAAAAAAAAAAAACAACAATAACTTCTCTTCAATCCTCCAACTCGCTTTTCATTAGCTACGTGCCTCTCAAATTAGCAAGCTAACGTTTATATAACCTAGCATAGGCTTTTGCCTTGTAAAACTTTATTCAGAACAATAAATCTAAATAAGAGGTAAATATATATCAGTGTTAGTAACGTTATCTTTGTCAACCTCAAAGAAATGCATTGTTTGTCTGAAATCTTTGCTACTCTGCCAAAAAAAAAAAAAACACTGCTGCGGTCAATACAAATTAGATCTTCACCAAACGAGACTGACTGTTTAAACAGTGAACAGGGAAGAGTGTTTCTTTGTTTAATTTATATTATTGTAACAAACTTGATAACTTTATGGTGAATAGTGGAGAACAGAAAATGTGAAGGCATATTTGGAAGACTGTTTCAAGACATCAAGGGTTAAAACAGGTTTAAAAGTATATGTTTACTTAGATTCTTGAAGGTGGACAAAGCTCAAAAATGTTCAGCCAATATATCAGTTATCGGCATTAGCTTTCCCCTCCCAATATCAGTATCGGTGACAGCCAAAATTTCCATATTGGTCGGGCTCTACAAATAATGTTTCAATAAACAAAGACCAGAGACTTCCCCTTTTTAAAGAGTTCCCCTTTGATGTCACTTCCTGTTTCCCTTTGGCTACACAAGTTGAAAAGAATACGCCAGATATGTGATAAAATTAGTAAAATCATGAGTATTATGCCACATTTCTTAAATGTTAAGACATTTTGTTCCACTATTCAAAGGATATCCATGTCACGGGCACTTTTAAAACAAAGTTTTTAAACTGGGATGTCTTCAGAAACAATCTCTTTTAATTTCTTTTCAAACTGACCATTTGTCTCTGCTAGCTGCAGAAGCCCCAGGAAATCCCTTTGTACAATGTTTGGTGTCTTTGTTAAGCCAAAGGATTCCTATTATAATATAGGGCTGAAATTCTCTATGATATCACTTATGATCAATAAAAATTTAGTTTTTATGACACTTGTAAATAAAACTAGCTTGTTGATAGGTGATAAATCGCCAAATTTTAACAAACTACAAATCTTTTGGAAGCTTCTTAGATGGAGAATAAAAAAAACAACTCGATTTTTAAAAACTTCATCATAGTGACTCATTTTGCTGGCACAGGTCACAAATACTACTGAGGGGAAAAGAGGAAAACGTAAAGGTGGAAACTGAAAGGTTTATTAGAAACATAAAATGTGTTGCTATAAAAATAAAGACACACTTTGGATGATGTGGACAACATGGTCCAAAGGCTACACAACCTACATGTTTTATTCTCTGATTAAGTAATAATAAGTTTGCAATAACTGTCAAATTTTCCAGGAAACAGTTTTTTTTTTATTCCCAAGTTTCTCTAATTTCTATGTATATACCTCATATTCTATTACAGCTGTGATTTCCATGAAAAATGGTAAAGATCTTAAATGGAGTGGTAACACACACTGCATTACTGCACCAACAATAAGCTGGTGACATCAGTGTGCATGGCTCCATTATTAGACACAAGTGCTAGTCAGAGGATTTACTCTGCGAGGCAGAGTGTGCATGATGACATATGATCAGCAATGACACCCCATCTCCAAAAACAAGCAGCTCTATATAATTCAGTATGAGCACATCTGTTTAGAGTTGCTTCTTCTATGTTTTTAGTCTTCCCTTCATGTCTGATTGACTGAAATATTAAACTGTTGTCAACAACTTGCAGCGTTCGTTCTTCCTGGGTATTTTAAAGTTCAAGTGTCTTTAAAGTTTTTAAAGCGTACATTTGTGCAGTTATTTTATGTTATTTGTCTTGGAACTTTTTCTTCTGGTTCGTACAGTCCAAACTACAACAAAGAGAAAACATGACGTCCTGCAGATGTTTTTAGAGCTGCAGTAAAAAGACCACCGTGCCATCACAAAATAAACTTAAACTGTCTCGTGGTGGTTTTGAGACTTGGCCAGCAGAATTGTGAGTTGCAGCTTATCAATAGGAGATATTAGGCTGTCTCTGTGAACCAATAAACAGCAACATGAAGGTCACACGTTGAAAAAAATACTAACAAGTTAAATATGAGCTTGAAGCAAATGTGCTGTTAAAATATTACCTATAGTTTTCACTTGAACTATGATGACTTTTTGTGGTACGAATTATTTTAGTTGACAATATAAATCACTTTTTTCAGCTACTGCTCTGATTTGTTGATAGTTTTCTAATAGTTGGACCGCATAAAAGTTCTCTGATTCTCCAAAAAGACATTGTTCTGTCCACTATGTGTTATAGGTGAGACACTCACTCCTAACGATCTTCACACTACCACAACCATCCAGCAAGAACAACCTTCAACATTTTGTTTTGTTAATTTACTATTTGTTCAAATGTTATTATTAATTTTCTGTTGTCATACATTTATTTTTAACTATTTCACATGTAGTAAACGTGTTTTCTGTATGTGTTGGTTTATGTTTTCATCTGTGCCCAGTACATGTTTCTCTTAATAAACACCGCCTGGATAATGCATAGATGAATTACTCTTTGCTGTCAATAAGTACTGCGGCAGATGGGAAAGAAATATTCCAGAGAATTATATTTTCGTCAGTGCTGAGATTAAAAAAATAAAAAATACAGTGGTCCCTCTTTTATCGTGGGGGATCCGTACCCTGAAACGCCGCGATAAGTGAAAAATATAACTCTAAACGCTCTAAAAGAGCACAGCATGCCATGATTTCAGCTCTCTACATCCGGATGCACTCTCGGCCATGCCCACTTCTCCGCCCTTCTCTCAGAGCGGAGATCAGCTGACCAGCTGCAGGAGGAAGCTTCTCTCACATCTGTGGGCTGCACACAGGTGCAACATCATTTAAAATAATTTATTTTAAATTTTAAAAATCCATGCCGATCGTGCAGCCCATCCATCAATCAGCCAATTGTGTGTCACGTCCAATCTTACTTTGAAAAACCACGATAGTGAGTCCGCGAAAAACGAACCGTGAAGTAGCGAGGGATGACTGTTACCACTTCATAAAAATGTCTACAATTGATAATTTAAATTCAACACATTTTTTGTGTAAAAATTCTTCAAACCTACTTTAGACACTTTTTATTTCTCAGTCATTTTCAGATTAAGAATCATTTTAAATGTCAGAAGTCCTAATGACCCAGATTTCACCTGTCGGTCCTGTATGGCCCCGAGTGTTGTTTAAAAAAGACCAAGCAAAAACCCTCTACAAGGCTGTGTTCTATCTTCTCGGATGGTTAATGATTACAGAGTGTGAAACCAGGACCGGGAGCACTCGATCACTGGCTCTTATCAGCTCTGACCCTGAACAAAACGACTCCGATAAAAGCAACACTGTTAACGTGCTGTGACCGGCTCCTCGCTGGATCCTGTAAGAAACTCCTCCTGGACTTTCAACTCCTAAAGAGAAGCAATAAAAAGTAGATGAGGACTGACAACTACGTCTTTGTTCGTCCAGCAGTGTTATTTGTTAAAAATAGTGAGACTGGCCTCAGGTATGCAGGAACCTCAGTCTACCTGTTTACGGAAGAGGGCTGCCTGCATCATGAAGGACCTCACTCATCCAGCACACACACTTTTTGCCCCACTCCCCTCAGGAAGGAGGTTGAGGAGCATTAAGTGTAGAACCACTAGACTGAGGAACAGCTTCTACCCTGAGGCTGTTAGACTCATGAATCTCTAACTAGAATAATCACTGTGAAAAATCACATCATGTTGCTGCTGATCTGTTTCATGTTGCTGCTGATCTGTTTCATGTTGCTGTGTTCATGCGTGCACATCTGCTCACAGACTCATGTTCATGTTTGTGCTGATGTTCAATGTTTTTATGTTATGAGTGCTTAGTGTATATTTAGTTGATGTTTTTCTTAGTTCATATCTTAGATGTTATTACTGTTTTTCTTAGACATTTTATTGTTGGATGTAACTGGGACCCTGTGTACATAATTTCGCTCCACCACATGAACCACATGAGGTGCGGATGATAATAAAGAATCTCTGACTCTCTCTGACTTACTGCCTCATCACGCTCACCTTCCTATCTTTATACCTGATGATTACCTAAACGGGGCAGTAAGTCTCCTCCTGATGACCTATATCACTCGGCAAAAGATTTTAAATGTTGGAAAACAATTTGGCACAGAATTCATAAAGAACCACTTTAGTTTGTAATTTGAACACTGTATGTTTTAACTGCAGCTCAAGGTCAGTTTGGGGTCAAATTTTTTTTTTCTGTTTACTCTTTACGTCCCATGTAAACACAGTCTTATTGAACTGTGTTCATCACGCAGTTGACTCTTACCCATTCCTCCACATCTCTGCCCTCCGAGGCCTTCCCACCAACGAGAGGCTCGTCCCAGTAGATGTTTGGTTTTCCGTAGCGCCAGATCTTCCCTCTTGTCCTTTGCGCAAAGAAAGCAGTAACCCCCAAAGCGATCACTACCACGAATCCACACACCATGGCAACTCCCTGGAAAAGCAAGAACCATAGGATGAAATCTAGTACCGGTAACTCCTCCAGGAGATAAGATGTGCAATAAAACTTTTTTTGTTGATACAAAAAGAACAGAGACGCACATCTGTAGGAAAAACAAGGAGCTCATAAGGTCATTCAGACCAAAATAAAAAATTTAATAATCTCAAAAACTGAACTCATCCAACAAATAAAAATCAAACTATCTACAGGAAATGCTACAGACCTCCTGAGGGTCCACAAAGCAGTAATGGTACAGGTACTGGTTGTACATGGGGAATCCTCCCACCCCTCCCATCTGGGAGTAGCTGGTCTGGTAGAGGTTCTGGCACATCACGAGCATCGGATTGTACATCATACTGGAGGAGCTCTGAGCCATGGGGTTCACCCCGACAATGTACACGATGTTTATGATGCCCTGAAACAGACGTGAGATCAGTGCACGTTCAATAAGATGATGCTCGCTGCGGCTCTGCAATAATCTGACAACACGCTCGTATCACGTGGAGACACAAGGAGCAGCAGTCAGACCACAAACAGTCACAGAACAAAATGTAAGAACAGAATGAGACAGCCGTGTTGTACGCTGGGAATAAAAAAAGCTTGGTCAGAGTTTACGTGTTAGCAGGAATGATGGAAGAGTGTTTAATAAGAATAGCGTTAAAGTTTACCATCAATTTATTAAGCTAATAAAAGACGTAGAATTACATTGAAACCATCAGTTTGGACCAACTGTGATCATGCAGACGCTGCATGCACAATGAATGCAGCTGAGCCCAACAGGGTTGCCAGATAAATTTAAAGCATCTTTTATTACCCCCTCCTTTTCTGTGCACATGTTCAACAAACACAACACACAACTTATCTTAGAATATCTTTACTCAGCATACAGTATATGGCAGTTAAGATCAAAATACTATAATTTTAAAGCCACAGTACTATCGTTCATAATTTCTTATCTGGCAACCCGACTGACATGGAAGCTATAGCGTTTTTCATGTAAACCAGATAATTTTTTGTTTATTACCCCAATAAATATTGAAAAAAAACACTAACGTTTCTAGAGGTTGTTCTCGTGTAAGAACGTTTATGCTGTTTATGCTTTATAGAGTTGAATATCAGTGAGAATACTACACAAATAAAAATCACTTTTCTGTTTGGCAATTTGCAGGTTTCCAAGGTGCTCCAACCAAGTGTACAGCACTTTGGTTGGCCCCGTCACTGTTTAAAGTGCTTTATAAATAAAATTGTAGGGTATGGTATGGTATGGTATGGTATGGTATGGTATGGTATGGTAAATGGGGCCTTATAGTAGATAGATCACTTTGACTTGGACATTTTAAAAATAGCTCGCATGCTGAAAAAGTCTGGGCACCACTGCATTAGGTACTTCAGGATAGTTTTGTCTTTTCTGTTTATGCTTTATGGAGTTGAATAGTGAGAATACTACACAAATAAAAATCACTTTTCTGTTTGGTAATTTGAAGGTTATTAGTTGTTCCAAGAATTTCTCGAACCACAATGGGAGGCAGAGCTTTTAGTTTTCAGGCCGCTGTCCTCCAGGTCCAACAACCTGAGGACACCAGCAGCCTCTCTGCCTTCAAAAACAAACTAAAAACATATTTGTGACCCGTGCTGGCAAAATGAGCCTGAATGAGCACAGGCTGCACTGCAAAACATATTAAAACCTTGTTCTTTGTTGCCATAACTGAAATTTGCATTAAAAAATGAGTTTATATTAACTGCATATAGAAATGTCTGTAACTAAAATAACATAAAATCTTCCTAATCTACATTTAAGTCCAAGTTTTTGAACATGTCTTCTGAAATAAACCTTTTAACTCTAAGCTTTTTGAAATTAACCCTTTATTTCTGCTAGCAATGACAGCACCAGGAAATCCCTTCGTATAATGTTTGGCATCATTGTGAAGCTTGAGGATTCCTCTTTTTAAAAAAACAAACTGGAATCCCCAAACACATCACACATCCCTCCAGATAGAAAGTTTCTTTTTAAAGCAGAACTCTTATAAAAATAAATAAAAAGCTAGTTTGTTGCCTGGTGATAAAATTTCAAACTGCATATTGTTTTGAGGCTTTTAAGACAGATAATAAAAATAATAACAAAATGAATTTTAAAAATTCCTTATTATCACTCTTTTCACCAGCTTGAGTCACATTAACTTGAACGAGCTTGTCACTCGATGGATTCACAGAAACTGTTAAAAGATTTACTTGTTTTAATGTGTTCATCTTGTACTGTTTTATCCCAAGTTCTATTTTAGTGTATCCATGTGTTTTATATTATTATTATCATGCATGATTCAATCTGTTTTGTTAAACACACTAACTATATCAATGAAGTTTAGTTAAGCGTGGTTTTTATAGCATGCTCATTACGTCTCGTTACAGAAACAGCTGCTTCAGTGATGACTGTTAGATGAAACAATGTTTCAGCAGAGAAACGCTAATCTGAAGCACTTTATATTCTACACTCAAACCTGTGAGCTCAGCAGTCTGTACGTGTGCACGGTGGGAATTGTGAAAGATGAACTACAACTTAAGCCGCACTCAGTGCAAAGTAAATTTAATATTATCTTGAATTTAAATGTTTTTTAGCTGATGATGATTAACGATTACAGCTGTTTTGGCAAAGGATGGGAGATGATAAAGGATGCTTGACTGTGTAAATGTGAGCAAAAGTAAACACAAAGTTCTCACTTTTAAAGATAAACTGAGAGGTAAGACGTGTTTTAATGTCATGCATGTTCTACGTGCTGCAGTCCGTTAGTTTTTCTTACACTACAAAATTATTTTCTAGTCTGATGAATGATCACAGAACCACTCTCATATTTAAGGAAAACAGCCTCATAGACACTGAAAGGCCCAGAGAAAGGAAACCCCATCAGTTGTACATGAATACTCCTCTCAGTAAAAACGTTTCAACCAGTCATTTGCACTTTTTGTAAATTACGATTATAACTTAGAACGTATTGCTGAATATACAATAAATTAGCCTTACCTGCAGGATCGCCATAATAATGCTGCTTATCAGGAGGGCCAGGAAGAACTTCCTGCTGCGGACTGCGTTGGATTTTGAGAAGCTGGCTATAAAAAAGGACAGCGCTCCGATAAAGTTAATCGCTGCCATGGCGATCATGGCGGTTTTGGCCGAATAAGGAGAAACATAATTGCCATAGTAGTTTCCGTAGCCTCCGTAACCTCCTCCATAACCATAGCCTGAGCCGTAGCCTGAGCCGTAGCTTCCTCCCATGTATCCGCTGCCGTAGCCCATACCAGAACCGTAGTAACCCCCTCCCATCCCATACTGGAATTCCCACATGAGCGTTGAAGCCACACAGGCAAATATGGCCACGCAGAGCACGATCACTGTCGCCATCATGGCCTTGATGATCCCAGGAGGGGACAGCCATTTGTAGAAGTGCTGCGGTTTGTCCTCGATGTAGTAGGACCCCGGTGGAGGTGGGTACGCGTTGTAGTCGCTGTGGGGGCCATGCAAGCTGCCCGTAGGACCAAAGCCATTGTTGGATGGAGGGGTGTAGACCGGCGGGCTGTCGTAGTGCTGCTTGTCAAACATCGCTCCAGATGTGACCCCAACTGAAAACAGGAACAGCAAAATCAGAAGGATTTAGCTCAGAGGTCACAAACACCCAGCAGAAAACTAGGAAGTAAGGTTCGGCTGTTTTTCAGCTGAACTGATACGACTAAAGCTACGTGGAGAGATATGAGTAAGTCAGGCGTGACTTTTTATGATAATGAAGGATTTAGTTGCAGAGCGCTGTAAATGTTTCACCATTTCCAAACTGGGTGTGATTCCTGAGGGTAAAACTTAAACTTGTCTGTGCATTTCTTTGTTTCATACTATTGTGTCATATAATTTAATATATTTTATATTAATCAGGAAATCAGAAAAATTAAAGAAATGACCTGAGAGGTCACTGCACGAGATAACTCCCAGTTAGAGTGGAGATGCTGGTACCAGGACAGGGAGAGAAACCCAACAATACTTTCCTTTTTGCCTCCTCAGTCTGTAGGAGTCTCTCTCCCCGGCCCACACAATGAAAACACTTTGAACATTTCACAAACATTCATTCAGCTAAAAATTTTGTTTTCTGCAACAGATCTTAAAGGGAAATGCAACGCTGCAGTGTAAGTTACTTAACAATGCCCATTCTTCTGAACGGAGCCCTACAGGGAGTGGGTGGGTGACAAGTTCAACTGGGAAGTCGTGTAAACAGCAGGACAAAGTTACTTTGAGACAAATCAAACCTTTAATGTCTCAAAAACCCTCAAAACAAGCTGGTTTGTCAGGTCTCTCGTTGATCTCGGGCACACGGTCACCATCATTTGTAAAATCACCACCCACATAGCTAAACCTTCATACTTCCTTGATCCTAAAGTCATTAATTATTACGTTGGATCTGGACAATTGATGTACAAGACTTCAGTTTGGGACTTATTATTGTCAAGTTCCAGTCTTTGTAAAACTTCTATCCTTATTAGGACATTGTCGTTAATTTATGTGGCGTAACCATGACCCCCTGTCCTAAACTCAATTCACAACTTAGTCCTAAATCTAACACCTAACCCAAAAATTAGGTTCCACTGTATTAGGAACGGGACTACAGGTGCTGACAAGGCATGAGATTATACAAGAACAAAAATATTAAAATGGTAACAAAACCAACAACCACACAGAAACTGTGCAAGAAGAATAACCTTCACATCAATGTGAAGAAGACGAAGGAGATGGTCGTGGACTTCAGAAGGAACAAACACACCTACACCCCCCCCCCCCCCCCCCCACCCCCCAAAAAAAAAAAAAAACATAGGAGGATCTGCGGTGGAGGTTGTCAACGTGCGGCATGGAGGCTGCACAGCTGCAGAAAGTGGTGAAGGCTGCACAGAATGTTGGAGTCAGCCTCCTCACCATCACAGACATCTACACCTCCAGATGCAGGAAGAGGGCCACCTGCATCGTGAAGGACCTCACTCACCCAGCACACACACTTTTTACCCCGCTCCCCTCAGGAAGGAGGTTAAGGAGCATTAAGTGTAGAACCACTAGACTGAGAAACAGCTTCTACCCTGAGGCTGTTAGACTCATGAATCTCTAACCAGAATAATCACTGTGAAAACCACATCATGTTGCTGCTGATCTGTTTCATGTTGCTGCTGATCTGTTTCATGTTGATGTGTTCATGCGTGCACATCTGCTCACAGACTCATGTTCATGTTTGTGCTGATGTTCAATGTTTTATGTTATGAGTGCTTAGTGTATATTTAGTTGATGTTTTTCTTAGTTCATATCTTAGATGTTATTACTGTTCTTCTTATACATTTTATTGTTGGATGTAACTGGGACCCTGTGTACATAATCTCGTTCCACCACATGTACCACATGTGGCGCGAATGACAATAAAGAGACTCTGAAATCGTCAAAAACAATCGTTTTCTTTTATGTTTTTTTACTCTCGCTGGTAGCACAAGCAAGTCAAAGATGTTTAGTTTGCACTTATTTTAAAAAGAAAATAAAGTGCATTCTTTCACAGAGGGGTGTAGAAAGTGGGAGTGTTGCTTGATTCGGTGAAATTGTTCAGAACTATTTCAGTAAAAACGCCTCGTCTCGTTTGGGGAACTTCGACGACGACAAACTGAAAATCATTTTTGACTTTTTCTTGGCAGAAACGAAGATCGGTTAAATTTGTGACAGGTGTTTTTAACCGTGTCAACAAATCTGAAACGCGCTGACTTGGCAAATTATGGCAGTAACCGTGAGTTAGAGCAGAAAACAGGAGACGTTGCTCCCACTGTGGCGTCTCTGTGGGACAGTGGGGGGGGGGGGGGACACCCATCCATTCAGCAGCTCAGACATAAAGACAGATACAATCCCTGGCACTGCCCTCAGTTTCATAAGTCTTCTGCTTTTATGGGACGTGGACACACAGCAGAGGAGGCCTCGCCTCAGAGCCCCCACCTCTGCCCTCCCACCATAACTTCTTGCCTTTGTTTCGGGAACAGGAGGGGCAGAAGTCTGAGCTTCTTGTCACAGGAGCATTGTTGCCATGGAATCCCTAAAAAAAAAAACAGAAAAGAAAATTGGGGCACTGTCCAGGGATCATACAAGGGCTGCTCTGTACAACTCCTGTGGGTGAGGGAAAGAAAGAAAGAAAGAAAGCTGGGGGGGGGGACAGGTGGACGTTGTTCAGTATCAGGTGTCTTTTATTGTTGTTGTCCTGCAGGAGACTCTGCTCCAGTTTATTCCCTCCTCTGGAGTTTGATCATACAGATACCTGGCAGGAAATAATCTGTCCGGCTGATTATTTCCTGCCAGACTGCCCAGACGGCTCAGCGTCACCTTAAAGAGCCCAAATCCCAAAAATCTACCCCCGACGCAGATCAGTTCAACTCAAAGATCTGTTTGTTCTCCGCGTAGAACGGAAACTCAGTCGTAGCTGATTTAATCCAAGTAATAAGACGGAGTTGAAGGCAAATACGCAAACAGAATAGTAAAATTTAAGGCAGAAAAATACGAATGTGTTGTAAAGTTATAAAGCTTTAGTTTTTAGACAGCCCAAATAAAAGCTCATAATACATAAATGTCTGCGTGTACATTTGTCTGTTAACTCAGTTTTATAGACATTGAATTCAAGTTTGATATAATTCTGTAGCCGAGTCGTTCACAACACTTAGGACATCTCGCAGGACGTTTCTCATCATACGCTGGTTTGAGTCTGAAACTCTGGCGTGAAAGGAGGCGGGTGATATGCACTCATCTGAGGAACGCTGGGCGTTTATTTATGACCTATTGTTAATTGATTATTGGAGCACCTGCTGCAGAAAAGGAAGGCTGTTCAAACTTCCTGATGGAGGTTTTGCTCAGATCGTTCCTCGTAGTAGAAACAGCACAACAGCAGCAACAGTAGCACAGATTGTAGTGGTGTTTGTCTAAAGCTGGCACGCACGTCTCCTGTTTTTATTTTCAAGCCGGACAGAAAGCACAGAGTTCGGAGCGCAGCGGTCGGGTCACACACCCACCAGGCCTGACCTCCGGTGCAACACAGAGACTCTATCATCTGAGGCCGATGAAGGAATTCCAGTTGTACGGTCACATGCCTCACATCTGTCAAAAACAATCAAACCCCCGGCCCGACGCAGGACTGGGACCCACTGACACACCAAGGAGTCAGTCAAGACTTCCTGCACCCCCCACCCCCCCACCCGTGCTCTCCTGGGAAACATAATCCGATTTTCTGTAATAAACGGAACATGTTGATGTTTCCACACGTGACTCAGCATTTACATTAATGTTTTTATGGAGTTTTACTTTGATGTTTCTGAGCGTTACAACTTACAAAATGTTCAGCTCAGAATGACGGACTATCACTTTTAGGTTTTGCAACTTTTATTCTTTTCTAAATATTAATATGTTTTATACTTTAATAATAATTCCTCTCAGATATATATTGACATCAAATCATTTAAAAACATTGTTCCCTTTGAAAGCTTCACGGTATTTGTGCTACTGTTCTTGTTTTTATGCTACTTTTAGCTACTTTTTGATAGCATATCACAACTTTTAGTTTTTAGCTAGCATTTAGTTACTTTTAGATAGTGCTTTGATAATTTTAGCTATTATCTAGTGTTTGCCAGCTTTTAGTTAGTACCATACCATACCACTTTATTTATAAAGCACTTAAAACAGCTACAAAGCCAACCAAAGTGCTGTACAGACAAAACAACAGGTAACACACAAAGCAAAATACAAAATGAGGTAAATCAGAATATAGACAATATAGACTTTTAGTTAGTTTTGTCTACTTTTACCTGTTAGCTATTCTTTTGCTACATTTGCTAGCATTTAGCTAGCGCTGTGCTACTTTTACCTTGTAGTCTTTTTGCTTCTTTTAGCTAGTTTTGCTGCATTTAGCTACTGTTTTGCTACTTCTGCTTTTAAAAGCATTTTTCTTCTTATAACTAGCATTGTGTTTCTTTTAGCTTTCAGCTCCGTTTCAGTTTTTCTGCAAATTTCAGCGCTCAGCATTCACACTGCGTTTCCATTTCTGCAGATTAAGTGAACATTTTAAGAGACTTGTGTGATGGATATAAAAACAAGTTGAATGCTTTTTTTTCTATAATTTAAAAATCAAAATACAATAAAGCATCCAGTTTCACATGGAAGAAAATTAAAAGTTGACTGGTTTCCTAATTTGACCAATAAATGATCATGAGAGTACAAATACACAAAAATTAGGAGTTGGTGGATTAGCTGTGGCGGCCATTTTGAATAGGGCTGACTTTGTAAATCAGTAGAGCCCAAATAATTATTTCTGAAACCTTTATTAAAATCCGACAGCTGAAATTAATTAAAAGTTAAAACTTCCTGCAGGGCTTCTGTTGAACCCATGTGCAGGTGAAATCAATTAACAGCTGTAATTAATCACTAATTACTGTGGCTAACGCTTAATCACTTAAAAAGTTCTATATTAAAAACATACTGCTTTAAAAATTATTGCTCTCTAGATATAACAATAGCCTATACTCTTTTACCATATTCATCAGGTTATAGTGATGGAGCTCCACTTTTGCTTCAAAATACAAATTTAAACTCACTGTTGAGTATTTCAAACCCTGTTTATTTATTGTGGGTGATGTCTCTGGTGGTTAGTTGTTGTTTTGAACCGATTCATTTGTGAAATAAACACCATGTTGGCTCAGACAAAGTTGTTTTTTTGTTTTTTTAAGTGACCCACCTGTCGAAGAAAAACATCTTAACTCACAGTTCATTTACAAGATGCACGCGCAGGGACCTCAAAAGGTCATTAAAAACACATAAAAGTGTAAAAGAAACTGTTTTGTCTTGGTCAATAACAGTGAAATCTGAAGTTAATCCACTTCTTGTGATTTTCTTACCTGCTTGGAGGAGTTGGAGGGAGGGAGGCTCTCTGGACCAGAGTCAGGTCGAGTTTCCTGTTCAGATTCTCCTTAGGACCAAAGACGGACTCGGATTTATGGGTTTGTCAGAACCTCAACTCGGTCTTGAATGACTTTGGTACTTTGAGCAACGCTTTGTTCTTTCGTCTCGGACAGAGTGAACGGTCTTTTCCAGCCTCTCCGCTTTAGTCCCGCCTGTCGGCGGAGAGACGTCCCGCCGCTGCACCGCCGCTTTCTCACCGCTAGAGGGCAGCATTTCTTCTGACGGCCGCGTCACCGTGGCCAGGGGGTCCATTTCTACCTTTTTTTATTATTATTAAGTTTTTATCAACATTACAAACATTGGTATATTAACAGGTACAAAGGCAATATCGTTCAAGCATAAAAAAAGAACAAGACAAATATATTTACAGATTATATAGATAAATTCACATGAAGTTTTTCTAGAGTTTTCTTTCAAGTTCCTTAATTGTGGTGCTAAAGTTCATTGTTGAAGTGGGTTATGTTTGGCTTGGAGTTTGACCACTTTTTCTTGTGAATGTGAAATTTTCCCAGGAGAAGTAGAACTTGGGTAACTCGTACCCGGAAGTCCAGTGTCGCGCCATATTGTGTCCCCCTGTTTCAGGAGCGCGCAGAAAACAGAGTTGGAGAGCATTCCTCTGTCAGAATCTGGACACCATCCCCTAAAAAATATATTTTTCCATTATCAACAGTTTTATTAACATACCCACCAAGTTATGATTAGTTGTCCCTTTGATTTCAGAGGGAACACAGATTCTGCTAGTCTGAGTAAACCCCACCATCAAAATGTTCCTCAGGGGTTGTCCTCACCTACCTCCATGTCCTCTCTAACTGCATCCATAGATCTCCTCTTTTGTCTTTTTCCTAGCAGCTGCATTTCTAACATCCTTCTGCCAATGCCTCCTCTGGACATGTCCAAACCATCTCAGTTTGGCTTCTTTATCTCCCAGTCCATCAACCTGTGCTGGACCTCTGATGATCTCATTCCTAATTGTATCCATTCACAAGGAGAACCTCATCATTTTCAGCTCTGCTACTTCCAGTTCAGTCTCTTGTCTTTTTTGTCAATACGGTCTCCAAACCAGATAACAGCTGGTCCCACTAATGTCTTAACAAAATTTTACTGCCACCTTTTTGTCACAAATCACACCTGAAACTTTATTCTATTCTGCCCGAGCTCTCATCTTCACCTCTTTGTCACACTCCCTGTGACCATCCACCCTTGAAGTCCTGCCTTTGTGACCTCTGCTCCTTGAAGCCTCCACTGTTCCACCTGTCTCTCTCTCATTCTCACAGGTGTAGGCCTACCCTGTCTTGCTGCAGCAGACTTTCTTTTCTCATCTGTGCGTAGTACCTCCACCTCTCCAAGTTCTCATCGTGGCAGATTCCTGCTGTGATTTAATGTGTTCAGCTCTTTTTATTATAACGGTAAAGGGGGGTAGATACTCTGGGAGTAAAACCAGCACTAATTTAAAACCCTGAACATTCAATAAACCAATCTTAGTGGGTACGGCCGAGGGTTGATGTTACACCAGACAGTTTCACTTTGTGTTGTGGAGGACACTTGAAAAGTCAAATGTGGATTTAAACCGGATAATCTTTTTTATGATCCAATTTTGAAGATAAAAAATAAACAGAGAAAAGTATTATGATAAAGCTGGGATTATTCAATATTCAGTCCATCGGTTTGGTATTTCTGGAGTTTGTTTGAAGCATTTTGCTCCAGTCGAAGAACTATAAGATAAAAATTACATGAGTTATCAATCCATATAACATATTATTTTATTTAAAAGACATCTCTATTTAATTTGAGTAAAAATAATTAGCGTCACTGTTTTTACTGGAGCATCAGGTGGTGTTGTTAGAGATTATGCATGTCCAAATCCACGTATAATCAATAAAAACAGATTTTATAGTGCATGTGTTTAAATTCTAACAATACTTTCATATTATAAGGTTTAGTAAATATGATGTCCAAAACAACATTTTAGTTTATCTGTGTGGAACATTTTCACTGCCTAAAGTGTGTGTGTTTCTGTGACCTGATGTTAGTCGAAGACCACGAGGAGGGAAGTGCGTCAGGAGACAGAGAGAGAAGAGGAAAGTCAAGAAGGACTGAGGGTTGCAACTCTAAATGTGGGGACAATGACAGGCAAAGGTAAAGAGCTGGCTGACATGATGCAGAGAAGGAAGGTAGACGTTTTGTGTCCAAGAGACCAAGTAGAAGGGCAGCAATGTATATATATATACCGGTACTGTATATATTTAAATTTATTCATTCAGAATTAATAATACGTATTTATACTTATAACTGGTATTACTGGAGTTGGATTTTTTTGTTGTTGTTGTAAAAGCCTTAAGACCATGTTTAAGTTTAAGACCATGGTTGATTTATGACAATAAAAGCATGAAACATCAAACATACTTTTTATAAGCCGTTTTGTCAGCAGCACTGCATCGTTGCAGATCAACCCTCCATACTAATAGATTTTACAAGATCTTAATTTAAAACTTTGGCACAAGATACAGTAAATGTTTTCAAGAAATGCTCGTTTATTTTTTTATTCAATTTTGACAAATTTTTTAACATTTTACATTTATAGTACTTTTGTTTTAAATACACTGTCATGCTGCAGGAAAAAAAAAGTTTGTCCTAGAAATGCTTTAAAGGTTTACATTTGAAAAGTTTTTTTTAGTCATCCTCCTCATCATCATCATCCTCATCCTCCTCCTCTTCCTCTTCTGACTTAACCATTTCATCCCGTGCAGCTTGCTGCTCTTCTAAAGCTTTTTCCAGTTCTTGCTCATCCTCCGGTGTTGGATCCAAAGCCTCTGTGATTTCTGGTCCACTGGGATATTCCTTCTGTGGTGGTGGGGGCAGAGGCGGACTGTACTCTGTCCCTGCCTTCTTCAAACCCCATCCAATATAAATGTTCTCAAATTTTCTGAACGAAAACAACAAATGGCCGTTAGTTCTGAATCCAAAGTCAAGCTGAGCAAAAATACAAATATAATACATATTGCAAATACAAATATGAGTTGACAGTTACTTTCCACAAGCGTAGTAGGCATGTGCTCCTGGCCAGAGGTTAGAGCGCAGCACTGCTATAGCGTGCTGGGGGGTGAGAGTGGACGACAATCTGGAGGTCCAGGGAGGAGTGTTGAACAGTTCTGAAGGACAAACATCCAGAAATCTTCTCAGAGGACTGTACATAGAAACACAAAGGTGTATTTAAAAAAATTAAAACAGCTGCATGTTGGCCCCAAACTTTAGGATTTATCCTAAAGGAAAGTCTTGAGTCTCCTCCGTGAATCACCTCCTTATCGTGGTGGAGGCATTTGTGTGCCTGAATGAGGAGCTTTGCTGTCAGGGGATATTGTAATTGCTCCTGGTAGGGTCTCCCAAGGCAGGTTGGTTCTAGGTGACAGGCCAGACTAAGAGTGATTCCAAAGACATATGAACAAACAAGAACAAGGAGCTCAGTGTCCCTTGCCTTGTGGGTTAAGCCCCCAGTATACTGCCGCGTACATCCATACGCAGAGGTACGCATGTACGTACGCAGAGGTACGTGCGTACCCCCCGGGGCATGTCCGTGCAAAGCTCAAATTTTTACGACCGCATACGTGTACGCGGTGTCGCACAATAAACTGCCCGGCGACGGACTGTTTTGTATGCGACACCAACGTATTAAATTCCCCTTCTTCATCTCTGATCTGGCCTTTTCTTTTGTTTTTTTGCCAAGAGGCAGTGATCCCTTCCTCCTCCGCTGATGCCGTGACTGAAATGGTGAGAAATGAAGGAATTTGTCACGAGCAAATTAAACTCAGGTCCAGCGTGGCTGCGGGAGGGTCTGGAGATTTCCTGTTGGGCTGGTCTGATGTGTGGGCTGCAGAGCCAGCACTCTCTGTTTTATTTTGTTATATCTTTTTATTAACAACATATAAACACAGAACACCGCTGCGGCGGAGGCTGCCAGCGCTCGCTTTTTTTTCTTTTTTCCGACCTGTCAATCAATCCAGTAGGCGTGTCAGCAAATGACCAATCGGCGACCTCAATTTGTCCCGAAGGTAAACGGCCCTCGTCTGTGAAGCTGCTCTGCAGCTGATCGGGGTGAACGCTGGAGTATCATGCCTGAACACTCTACGTACAGTACACGCGTACGTACGCGTGTACGGACGTACGCTGCAGTATACTGGAGCCTTTACTGGGGCCCCACCCTGGAGCCAAGACTGGGGGAGGGGCTCATCAGTGAGTGCCTGCTGACCAAGTCTCTACCCTTGGAGTCTGGCTCATCCTGAACGAGCAACAGGGACTTACCTTCATGTGGGTTCACCACCTGCAGGAGGGACCACACAAGTCAGGTGCATGATGCTATGGGCAGTGGTCAAAGGCAGGGGCCTTGGCGTTCTGACCCTGGCTTACCAAAGCTGGCTCTTAGGACATGGAACGTAACCTCCCTGGTTAGAGGAGGTTGAGAGGTACCGACTAGACAAAGTTGGGCTCAACTCGACGCACAGAATGGGCTCTGGAACCAAGCTGGACCTTATTCATCTCTGGAGTTGCATGTGGTGAGAGGCGTCGAGCTGGTGTGGGTCTACTTTTAGCCACCGTAATTGGTGCCTGTGTGTTGGAGTTTTCCCCGTTTGATGAGAGCGTGGCTTCCCTGCGCCTTTGGGTGGGGGGACGGGTTCTGACTGTTGTTTGTGCCTATGCTCCGAATGGCAGTTCAGAGTATCTGGCCTCCTTGGAGTTCTTGGCAGGGGTGCTGGAAGGTGCTCCAGCTGCGGATTCCTTTATTCTGCTGGGTAAATGGAATGGACTGGACTTATAGAGAATCTTTCTATTTCATCAAGACACTCAACGCACTTTACACTACAATCTGTGCCCTCATTTACCCATTCATACAACACTCTACTAGATCTGTTGTGGTTGCTGATCTTGTGCTGCTCATTTATTTCACGCAGCTGTGTTCATTCATATTCATCTGCTCACAGACTCATGTTCGTGCTGCTGTTGTTCAGCATTTTGTTTTTGTACTACTAGTGCTTAGCATATTTCTTAGTTCATATCTTAGATTTTATTACTGTTTTTCTTTACAATTTATACTTTTGTTGGATGTAACTGGGACCCTG